TATATATATATATATATATATATTCATTCATTCATTCAACATCTTAAGTTGTATAATTTTGTCATTAATTTGCATCCTTTTCATGATCTTTTAAAGATACATTTTTATTGATTGATTGCACCCTTAACTGCATTTAGTTTGTAGTATTATCACCCTTAAATATAAGCACTTTCTGATGTACAATTTATAGTTTCTCCTTTTAACTTTTTTTTGTCATAAATTTTTTTACAAGGTAGCATTTTTTTTTTTTTTTGTACTGGGGGTCGAACTTGGTACCTTGCTCTTACAAGGCATGTGGTGGAATCACTGAGTTAAATCCCAAGGTAGCAAATTTTTAAAGTAGTAGAAACTTGCTAACAGCGTACAATGTGTTCACTTTTTATAGATGTCCAATGTCAGTTTAAAAGCAATGTTTACTACATAATTTTGAAATGTAGTGTTGTATAACTATTCATTGAATCAAATTCCTTAATTATACTTTCTTTGAAAAATTATACCTGTTTCTTTTGTAAGAATGATGAAACTGCTATATTCCACTAAAGCAACAATTTTTTTCCAGCTTTAATTGAGTTTGTTGGTACATTTTAGGGATACAGTAGAGTTACATTCATTGTTGGCATCTTGTACCTCTACATGGCAAGTCTTGATTCTCATTTTTCCCCCTACTCCTGCCCTCCCTTCACCCCCTCCTCCCCTCCCCATCTATAAACACTTTATTTTCATCTTTTCATTATCTCACATTTTTTTCTTTTCCCTTATCACTCTTCCCCTACCCATCCTATGTTCCCTACACCTTTAGCTCCTTTCTTCCCATTTACATAAGATCCTAATAAGATTACTGACATTTAAAGCAACAATATTTTTCTGAGTGCACAATGAACTCTTGTTTATTTTTAGTGTGTATTTTTTGTTTTAAATTGTTACATAGTAATTGTGCATATTTATGGGGTAGATTAGTGACGTTTCAACATGTGCATACAATGTATAATGGTCGAATCAGAGTCGATAGGCACATCTGTTACCTCAAGCATGTATTGTTTCTTTGTGTTGGGAACGTTCAAAATATTTCCCACAAAATATTTTAAAATATTCAAGTAATTGTTGTCTACCAAAGCTATCCTACTGTGCTGTAGAACATTAGAAGTTATTCCTCTAATATAACTATAGCCCTGTACTTGCTAGTCGTCCTCTCTTTGTCACTATTTTACTATTTCTGTGAGATTAACTTTTTAGCTTCTACACCTGAGAACATATGGTATTTGTTTTTCTATGCCTGACTTATTTTGCTTAACATACTATCCTCTAAGGGGAAAAAATGAGAATCAAGACTTGTCATGTAGAGGTACAAGATCCCAACAATGAATGTAACTGTACTGTATCCCTAAAATGTACCAATAAACTCAATGAAAGCTGAAAAAAAAAAAGAGAAGCTGTCATACACTGTCAGTGGGAATATAAATTAGTAAGACCACAATGGGAAATAGCATTAATTTCCTCACTAAACTAGAATTAGAACTACTGTGTGATCTAGCAATCCCACCACTGGGTATACTAAAGGAATTGACTTCAGTACATGGACGACACATCCATACTCCCATGTTTATTGCAACTTTGTTCACAACAACCAAGGCATGGAATCAACCTAGGTGTTCACAGATGGACAAAGGGATAAAGAAAATGTCTCATATATACACAGTGGAATATTATACAGCCATAAAGCAACAATTTAAAAAAAATATTTTTCATGTTTTAGACCTATCTTATCAGGTACAACTTTGGAAATTTCATGTCTGACTAGTGTAAATTTATTCAGTATCTTAAGACATTTTGCATGTAAATATGTCATTTCACGTCATTGTATCTAATATTGGAATGGCTACATCAGCTTTTTTGTTGGTTTGTGCATTTGATTCTTTAGTCAGTGTTCAACTGATGCCCATTCTTTTCCTTTCATGCTGGTTTTGAGACCTTCCCTTGTCTTTGGTATTATCCAGCCTATGCTAATCTAACGTTCTGCAGTTTAGTATTCTGCATTTCAAAAGAGTCTTAAGTAAAGTAATGTTCATTGTTTTAACAAGTGTTTTGATTAATTTCTCTTTAACAATTGTTAAAGTAATAAATGTCAGAACACAGAAGGTAGTATTAATTTTGCTCACAAGTCAAATTTATTAAATTTTTTATTATGTGTATTTTAAATCATTAGTACTATTCAAAGATAGTCTACTAAAAAGCATTTTGCCTAGTGAGCCTTCGACCGATCCATTGAAAAACTAACTTTGTTAAAAAGATATGGACCCTAATATTTCTGGATAGAATGAATATTTCTTTTCAGAGTTCTGGAGGTTTATTATTTAAATCAGTAAGCCAAGACGTGAAAAAAATGATAAAATAAAGAACATACAGAAATAAATCCAGAAATTTTTATTTTCACTGAAAATGTATCTACTAAAGATTAAAGGGGAAATTTTTCAATTATCTCAAGAATTTGCGAGAGTTGAAAGGTAGTGATAATATATTCTTCCAGTTAAAAAGAGAACTGTAAGAATACCTAATATGTCAATTGCTTTTTTAACTTAAGAAAAAATGTGTGAAGAAGATTAAGAAGCCATTCTTTGTTTTCTGTTTTTTGTTTTTCTGTTACCGGGGATTGAACTCGGGTCCTTGCACTTGCAAGGCAGGCTACCGAACAGCTGAGCTACATCCCCGGCCCAAGAAGACATTCTTGACGTGTAGTTGAGACACTGGAAAAAATAAGAGTTAAAGTAACACTTTCAGAATAAATACCTGAAGGAGTTTTGGGAAAAAAGTCAAAATTCAAGGAATGAGCATTTCACACCTGGCTAATAGTAAATAAAATCTTCCACTATAAAGTTCTAGGCATTAGTTTTATTTATTTTTTTTAATTCCACTACTTTGAAATACGTGAAGTACGGGAGGAGGGGCTTGCCTATCTTCAAATACAAGACCTAGTGTAAAGGGCCAAGGCAAAGAAAATATACAGAGGAGGGGTGGAAAGAGGGAGATGAAGAGGGATAGAGCGACTGAGAGTTGAGATGATGAAAAGAAAGATTCACCAAATGATACTATATTACCTAAATGATCTGCTGGCTTCAATTTATTGTTAAAATATGTAAAACAGGTTTCAAAAGTAGGAAACCCTACAGCTCTAGCAGCAATCTCTTAAGATTTTACACTTTCATCATTTTAAAACCCTCATTATGTCTAAAGGAAGCTAAAATTGCATCAGTCACCATAATTTACTGACCAAAAGCTGGCCAAGCATTTGAGAGGATTCTAGAAGCTGCTGATCTTCTGTTCCCTGCTTATGCTCATGCACCACATTGGCTTAGCTTGGCTAGCCCTTTTCAAGGGTATGGATTTCCTGTGGACTCTTCCACTTCCATGTAAGATCTAAGAGATGGGTTCCCACCCCAAAAGAGCCGTCTTTACTAAACTCTGCATTTTGCCTCAAGGGAAGGAGTGTCTCTCCCTCCTCATCCTGCTACCTAATCTCCCAAACTGCCGAGTCTTCCAATGCTCATCCCGAGGCGTTCTTTTCCCCAACTCCCTCCAGTAGCGTCTGGGCTTTACAATACTTCCTCGCTGCTCGCTTTTCTCCCCCCACCCCCGGAAAATGCTAGGCACCTCCTCCCGTTGTAAGGGCCCTGTCACTCTATCCCCGCTGTGCTGTCGTGATTGGCGGACAAGGCAGGTCATCTAGCCCCTCCCCCGCCTCTCTTTGCCGCGCTGGGTTTTTTCACGAGGGTGGAGAATGAGATTCAGACAGGCGCCGCTTGGAGCGGGTGAAGAAAGGCATCCTTGGTTTAGCTGTTGCTGTTCTTCATTGAACAGTTGCTCAGAATCTAGGCACTTCAGTCGTTTCATTTCCCGCCTCTCCCCGATTTCAATGCACAAATCACTTGCATATCTGTGACCTCGTGTCTCTATCTCTGGCTCCTTGCTCAGAAGGATAGAACCGGAGTTCCAAGCGTTTGGACCAAAGGGTCTCCGCTTACCGGAGGGAGCTGTCCGGGGTACTGAAGCTTCGCAAGCCTTCTGTTTCCACCAGCCCCATGCGCGGTTAGGCTGCACGTTCGTTCTCATTTCTATTTTTCTGACTCCCATGCCTGGGATAAGGCTACTTTCAGGATCGTGAATATCTCCGTATCATGGCCCACGTGAGACATTTTCGGACACGAGTTTCAGGATTTTATTTCTGGGAAGCGACACTGCTACTCAGGTGAGTCCATTTGTATATTTCACAGTTGGAGAACTCATGAAGCCCATACGTTAGTTTGCAACCACTTGTTTTTGATGACGCTGAGAAATTTGCAATTCTATATTGATTTAGTAATAATATCACTGAAATTGTATTTTTCTACCTAAAACTGTTCAAAGGAGTTCTCTAAAAACAAAGAAATTTTCTTTATTTAACAGGTCATGTATTTTTTGAAAACTGGAATTTTATGTTATTTGAAGTTGACATTATTCCAGAAAAAATAATTATTTCCAAAATCCAGACTTTGCTTTGCACCAACTACTTTTAGAATATTTAAGTGAACTAATACATTTTGTTTTACTTTCTTTTTCAAAGTTATGAAATATTTAGTAATTTGAAATGAGACATTGCTAACTTCTTTAATGGCAGAAATACAGAACATAAGGGTTAATTGCTAAGATATATAGTGAAAATTGCTGATATATCTAGGCATTAAGTCAAATGAGCAAAAGCTAAGGGCCTTGCAGATACTATTTTCTAATGACCTAGTTCAGTAATACATGAAGGCATGATATAAATACATCATTAGACATATTATTTATGAATAATTACCTTTTCGAAGAAACTATTATAATGAATCCAGTGAATTATAAGATTATTATGTGACATGTCATTTTGCATTATGTTCCAATCATATTTGATAGGCTTTTCTTTTTAACTAAGTTAAAGAGGATAAGAGTCTAAGCAGATGATTTTACCTCTGTTCTTCATCAAACAATGTATAAAATCAAGATAATGTTCATATTGATTTTTGAACCCCCACTGTACATTTTATTATCACCACATAATTACATACAATTTTCACTTGTATGGCTACCAATCTTGTCAAGAGGGTTGACGTTAAGTAGTGTATATTATGGGTTTATTGATTTCCATTCAAAGTATGTGAATATTTTTTCTGTTAGTATCTTTTTAATTTTTGAACTACTTCAAAAAGCATAATGTATCTCATAAACTGTCTTACAGAATGTCATGTTATTTTGATATGTTTGTATAAAAAGGATCTTGCTGAAAAGGTTATTGTACTTCCTAAGTTAGTAGCTTATTCTGAAACAGGATTTTGAACTACTTTGAATCACTGTATTTTCAGTAAAAAATATTTTACCGTGATTTAGTAAATTTACAACTGCCAGAAATTTTAATTTAACTTAGTCAATGTGTAACACCTTTATATTTACGAAGATTTCATGGAATGGAGTACAAAGTTCATGCTGCAATTGATATTGATTATTTGACCATTTGTTTTTTAATATTTAATATCATAAGAGATAACATGCATTTTTTAGTGAAATCACATTAGTATAGTTAGTGATACTTAATGTCAGTAACTAAAATATTTTAATCAACAAGGCAAATTTGTTTAGGTACAATTCATCATGTAATTTGTTACAGTATATTCCTATACAATACTCTTCATGCCTGCATCTTCTTTTTTAAAAAATATTTTATTCCTTCATTTTAGATATGCAATACAGTTGCACTCTTCAATAGGATCTGCATTTTCTGATTTGAATAGCTCTATTAAAATTCACAAAAATTATTTCAAATTAATGATCACAATAACTTATCTTCATTTATATGAAATGATTTCAGTTAGAAAGCTTTTCATGAATAATCCAAACATTTAAATTTCTGTGAAAGTAGTATACCCAAAGTAGAAGTTTATGTGATACTTTTTGGCTTCATCAAATTTTAGTGTTTCTTTCATGAATCAAATAAGGCTTTTCTTTTCCTAGACTACTCTTAGATGAGAGAAGTTCTTCATTCTACAAGGAACATAATCATATATAAAGATTACATATTTTTACTTTTAGTGATGGTCCTTGAAGCATGACTTTTTATAATAAAGAAAGGGAAAGCTCCCTCTATTGGAAAAAGATTTGTAAATTTATTGTTTTTATGAAAGCTATTCCTTCTTCAATAAGTCTATTGGTAATATGTTGAGCAAACAAAAGGAAATAAGTGAAAGAAAAAATAAAAACAGTATATTTAGCATTAATTAACCTACTTGCTTTTAAATTAATTTTTTTTATTTTCAAGTCTGGTTTTACATGAAACAAAATTTATTCATATTTTTGAGTGATAGTGTGATGTTTTGATAAATGCACACATTGAGTGATGATCAAACCATAATATTTAGCCTATTCTTCATGTCAAACATTGATCATTTCTTTGTTATGAGAACAAATACAATCTTCTCCTCAAGTTATTCTGAAACATATGATTCATACTGCTCTAGAGAACACCACACTTATTTCTTTTATATACCTGTAATGTAGAAAAAAATAAACTTTTTTGAGACAATATGGAGGCAAAAATAACCTCAAACCACCAATATTTATAATTAAATGATTTTCTAGTATGAACATTCTTTCATAGGTCAATGATTTCAAATATTTATTGAGATATACACATAAAATATGCACAAATAAGTTTTCAGTTTTCTGGATAAAGTTTTATAAAAGGGTTACATCCAGGTGAAGAGAACACAAATCTCAAAGTAGAGGTGTCAATAATAGAGGCACTGACGTATTCAGCACCAGCTGTCCTATCAATGTATGCCTTACCAAGCATCACTGTCCCAAAAGTAATCCCTCCCTTGACATACAATAAATGTATATAAGTATATATTTGAGTCCATTTTGTTTTTCTGAACATTATTTTATATGATTTAACATATTTTAGCATGTAGTATAAATTTATTCTCATTACCATGTGGTAGTCCATTATATGAATATGTCACAATTAATTAGTCTAAAGCCCTCTTTACTTACATTTGGGTTTTCTCAAGTATGGGCAGGATTACTGATGCTTTGAATGCTCCTGAGCAGATTTTGTGATATATATATATATTTTTTTTTCTTATCGGCATTATCTGAGAGTTCCTTTTGCTTACCAGTAGTACAATATTATTATAAACATTTCTAGTGCTTTCTTTGAGTATTATTGCAAGTCCACAGACTGTATTTTACCTCTTGTTTTGGCTAATTTCTACATTTTACTAAGTAAGGTTTACTGATCCAAAACAAGCAGAACACAAGTTGTATTAATATAATACAACCAGAAGTACTCACTACCCGAATGGGTCAGGTATAAGACATTATTTAAGGGAAGTTTGTTTGTACTGAGGATTGAACTCAGGAACTTGCTTTTGTGAAGCAGGCAGTGGCACCACCGAGCTAAATCCCAGACCAATGGAAGATTTTTTAAAATGGATGATTCTTTCAATAAAGATGAAAAAATTGACAGATACAATAGAAATATAGATGTCAAAGCAGTAATTTTTAAAGCTTTCACATTATGCTCGATATTGCTATTTTATTGAACGATTCTTTTATGGCTTTTGGTTTTTAGTTCTCATGGTAATAAAGAACAAAGCATTAGTGTTCAACTTTTTTGAAATGCAGATTTGTTGTGATGATGAAGTGCTAGCAGAATAAATTCCAAAATCAAAAAAAACTGTTAAAAATTTCATTTAGATTGATTAACTGTGTACCATTTGCTACTTGAACAAATTTTGTCATATCGTGTCAAAAACTGTAGGTATAAGTTTCAAAACAATCATGATAATCAGAAACAAGATATTTTCATGGTTTATTTTGAAAACCATTCATGTTGACAATTAATTTATTAGTTTTGCTTTTGTGATGTTTTAGAAAGTGAAATAAAATCATTTTAAATTTTTTGGGCATTATTTTCATATGTAATATGTTGAAAATTTTACTTCAAAAAATCAAATTTTGCTATTATTATGACGTGGCAAGAAAGCATAAGAGCTAAAATCTATATAGTCTTTAAAAATATACAATATATAACACTCATCTGAAAAGTCATAAATTATAGAAGAATTATAGCTCAACTCTAGTCAATGCCTCCAGCAGTTTATCCAGCAGATTCAGAGAACAGTTTGGAAAATATTTCCTCTGATATAAACTTTGCTCTCCCCTAACCATATAACTGTGTACAATGCAGGTCAATCAGTAATTATATGTTTCATGTATGATGTTAAGCAATTCAATAAGATTAATTTACCAAATTTTGTGAACAAATTTTCATAGTAAGCACAGTCAAGTAGGAATAATTTTTGCATCATAAAGCCTACAGTCTAGGAGAAAATGCTAAAAAACACCACAAAAAGCAATATTTTAAGGCCATGTGAAGTAGAGAAACTACCAGGAAGGCTCGGTACTTCTGCCAAGCCATGTAAAATTCTTGTTCAGTGTTCAGAAATGAGGTATAAGAGAGTATTCTATGCAAAAGGAGCTATACAGTTATACACTCTCTTCATGAGTGATGGTGATGGTTAACGTCAGCTAAAGTAATTCAGTGTGATTGAAAACTATGGCATTCTACGTTTGTGTTGGCTACACAATAAACCTGTAGTACTACGGAAGAGTAGCAACATCTTTTCACAATTGATATGAGTGAAATTTAGAGCAAATAATTTAATTATAGTTGGATAGTCATTAGTACAGGTATAGTCCTGTAACTGAGATCAAAATATCTCTATAAATACCTTTCCTTTGAAGATAGAATTTATCTCAATATTAGTTAATGCCAAGGTGCAGTATTGTGAGACTAAAGTTCCAGCGATTCAGGAGGATTTCTGGAGCCCAGAAGTTCAAGGCAAGACTGGGCCACATAGAAAAACCCCAACCTCAAAGAAAACAAAGTCATGATAAGGTTAATAATTCTTATTTGTCATAGTAAAAATGATGAAAAATGTGACAAAAGTACAAGAAAAATGTAATGTTTGCTTTAATTTGAAGACTAACATTTCAATCATAATTTTTTTTCCTGTGTAAAAAAGCTTTTTCTTAGTAATACTGTCTTCAGTACATAAGTTTTAAAAAGCAGAAATACTAGAATCAAAAAGAGAATTTGGAATGTTAGAAGAAAAGCAGATGCTGAACTTGGTTTATGTTTTCAGTTTGAAGTGTTAGCTCTGTGTCCTGCCATCA